ATGTATATATGTATATATGGCATGTATGTATGTATGTATATATGGCATGTATGTATGTATGTGTGTATATATATATGTATATATATATATATATATATATGTGTGTGTGTGTGTGTGTATGCGTGTGCGTGTGTGTTTATATACATTTATGGTATTATTATAGATATACATGTATATATTATGGATAAGTACCGCTCATTATTTTTCTCACCTTGAAACTTCAGGTGCCTGTAATGTGGGTGTATTATCTACCCACCGTTGTACAAAACATTAAAAGCCCTCTATGAAACTCTGTAGATAGTGTATTAACTAATTTCTGTGCTCTCCTACTTGTGCGTCCAAACCATTCGTCAGTCATTTGTTACTTTCTCTGAACGTTGTCTGTAGGGTTATAACCAGCTAGGGTTTACCCAAATGAGTTTTAAGTTCTTGCTGCTATGCCGCTGCCACCAACAGCCCATTTTTTATTTCATTTTTTGGGGGTAGTATTCGTTATGTTTCAGCACGATGCTGCCAATGCCTACTGTTCAACTAGTACCACGTATGTCTTTCATGCTTTTTAAAATAAGACGATACGTTTTCTGTACGTTTATTATTGTTTATATACAGCTCGGGATTACGGGAACGAGTTGGAGTGGTTTTTGCTATGCCGCATCAGCGTCGGGCAGGTTTTGCAAAGGCGATGTAGTGGACGTGCAACGGTGTAGCGGGCCTGTAATGTAAGGAGTTTCCAGCTGAATAAACTTGGTTTTGAGATCTAAATAAACTCGATTGCATACCAAAAATACTCGGTTCACTACCGCATCAACCTAGTTGGACACCGCATAAAGCAATTTTGGTAACGAGTGGCGGTAAGGATATCAGTCTCATTGGGACAGTTCTGCAAAGTGTAGTAAAAAAATAGCTAGTTTGAAGTCCTAATGAATCGGTTTGAACACCGCCCAAAAAAATTCAGACTTCCATAACAGGTTCCATAATCGAATCGCGTACCAAGGAACGTTTAGCCTAATGCATCTATAATGTTAACACCTAGTTTTGAAACGAGGTGCGGGTTGGTCGTGGTTTTTGACCATGCTGAACACCTGCAATTGCAATATGGTTTCAGGATGCAACTATTTTGTCCACTTAAATGCAATATGGTTCCAGGGTGTAGCTATATTGCCCACTTTTATCATATAACTTCTCGGCAGTAAACCATGTTACTGAGAGGTACGATGCCAATTCGAAAACCAAAGTTTTTAAGGTGAAAGGCGGTTGTGGATCCGCTTACGACTAAAAAATAGTACGCGAACAAGCACGAACGCGTTAATAACGTCAATACTATCGTAGAATCTATAGGTATTGCGCAACACAACTGGCAGGCTATGGTGTCGATTCTTCAGTCAAGAAAATCAAAAAGATGGATACGTTTTCTATGTCGAGGCTGTTATTTACACGCGGCGCTGCACCACTCGCAGACTAAACGTAAATAGTTTCTGTATTTACACTCTACCATGCAAATAGTGATAGTATAACAGAAATGACCATTCACGTTCAATACATCCAACAATAATTCAAATCAGTAGCAGCCTCTAGCATTCGACGATATAGTACAGAAATCTTCAACTGAAAGCATAGTATGAATACAAGACCAGAATATGTTTTTTAATTAAGAATAGGTTTTCTAATTCAGGGATATCATTATATCTGGCGTAGCCGCCTATTACATTTAAAGGTGTAGTAAATGAAACACTTCCATCAAAACTAATATCAGGTAAAGCCCGGTTACATTTTTTTGAAACTAGAATACGTTTTCTAAGCTCTGGGTTTATTATGTATGGCGTAGCACAACTCGCAGCCTCCAACGAACACGAGATGGCCCGAACTTCGGAACACTACTCCAACATGTCCATATCCTCTCCAAGGGGCTAAATCAATAAAAAGAATGAATATTAATATATAATAAATGGGTCGGAATAAGCGTGTACAAAAACAAAGAATATAAAAATATGATAAATGGGTCAGAATAAGCGTGTAGCGCCTTAGGACTATATTTACATATGCAGGATTGATTTGTACTTCGACAGTTGTAACTTGACGATTTCAGAACGGTGGGTGTTCTGGTGACTAGTTACAACTAAACCTGTTCGCTTTAAAACCACGAGTACAGATGAATTTCATTAAGATCCTAAATCGGTAGATACCGTATAGATACAACGTTCGGAATGAATGCTAATGTATATAATATAGATATCTACATATAGAGCAAACACAATATGAGCCCCCCCCTGAAAGGTAATGCGCATATGGATGTATGTGATGGTTTACGACCCATCTCTTAATGTGTATTCCGATCAGCGGCACCGCTAGCTCCACCTCAGGAAACCCCACATACGAACTAATCTCAAGCACTCACAGATAAAACCCTCAACAACATACACGACACACATTGTATTCCACCAACATAAACATGCCGATCGCTAACATCAGCAATGTCACACGCGCATACACATGCACATACACCTGCACATTCGTAACATAAATATCATACAGATTGGTGGGAACTATACACATACATACGCATACAGACAAATACTTACGTATACATACACATATATACGCATACAGACAAATACTTACGTATACATACACACATATACGAATACAGACAAATACTTGCGTATACATACACATATACACGCCCGTATACACACCTCGTGCCGCGTGGACATGCCCTGGGGAGCGGCAGCCTCTTCTATGGCCAACGCAGACAGCAACTCAGTCAGCTCAACCTCAGGGAAATCTTCCTCAATCTCTTCTCCATCCTCATTGTGCGTAACACGTGTTTGCGTATTCTCGTCAACACCCGCCTCACTGTAGGTTGTGCAAAGAGATGTGAACATGATAGCCGTGAGTATAAATGATGAATAAACGAATGTATAACAGATATACTATATATATATAGTACAACATACCGATACAGATTGACGTTCGCTCTGAGTTCGGGATTCTCTTCCAAGTCTCGCAAGAACAGCTCGTATTGCATCTCCTCGTTAGTCTCCTTCTTTTTCTTCTCACCGGCATCCTCTTTGATCTTGGTCAAATTCTCGAGCTTCCAGAAACGTTTCTTGTTAACCTGAATGTTTCAAGATTGTAGTCTAGAGTATGAATGTCGGCAATACCTACATCTACGTGTACATGCACATTAATAAATATAAACACGTCCATATTCACAACTCTTCGTAGACAGGTCAGGATCTCATGCTGCTACGAAGACTCCATCACACCTTGAACTACACAAACAACATCAATCAATTGTGCATAGCCGCAGTATCTGAGAAAGCAAAGTCCCACACAAGAATCCGAATATGTTCCAGGCCACTATAACAGTATATATCTACCACCTGTTCCATATCTTGACCTCACACACTACCATCACTCCGTGTCCTGGACTTTATATACTTACCTTTCGTCTTGCAGGGTAGTGCTTCTTTACCAGAATAACATAAGGCACACGAGCAGGATCGAGTTCCTCGAAGGCGTTGTCGTTCACATTGATAAAGGTCAGATCGTAACCCATAGCGCTGCGAGGAATATAATTTACGTAAAAATTACGTAAATGAGAACTGATATGCAACAATGTATATGTCTAAGATACCGGACTATGTGAATACGCAT